CTACACCTAGACGATCTTGATTTTCCTTTCTTTAGATAGTATTTCCCGGTAGCAGGGTTTATCCTGCAAGGGCAGAAAGTGGATCTACGTATGCACAGAAAATATAAGCAGCTAATCCAAGGAGTATAAAAGTCCATACAGCTGTGTGTTGGTTGGCTCCGATCTTGGGACTGTTATTGCAAGACAAAATGCCTTCCAACGTGACGAATTTTAACATCAGGGATGTCTGGAAAAATAACATGGAGGAAGAGTTCGCTAAAATTCGTGATATAATAGAAAACTATCCTTATGTGGCTATGGTGAGTTCAATATACGGTATTTTCATGGTAAGATTTGTGCACAGTCTCATAAATTTTAGCTTAAGGTTCTCATACATTTGTCGTCTTTATTCATTTTAAGTGATATGTGTGAAAATGGGATTGCCCCAGACGCAATAAATGTATGGGTTGTGCAGAAATCTTACAAGTTTTAAAGTTATTAAAATTTTTTTTGTTCATTGAAGAAAACATGTACTATAAATGTGTCGTTACAGAAACAGCAATGTTGCTGGAAAATCTCTAGTATGATTTATGCAAAGCTTTGGGTTAGACTGTAGGATACTGTGCCCCCCTCTCATTTGTGTCAAAATCACTGAGAGAAAATAAAGGAATCTTCTCTTTTGACAAGTGTTGAACCTGTGAGGAGTGTCTATGAGCTGTCCCGAGATATGTTAGTACCTATGGCCAGGTATCATAACATTGCTCCCAGCTTTCATGACTTACACAAGTATTAATTTTTATTTAGTGTTCTGTCACTCAACAATCAGATGACTAATCACATTTGTCAAAAACTTCCTATTCTTTTTCTCAGGACACAGAATTTCCTGGTGTAGTAGCTCGACCAATAGGAGAGTTCCGCAGCACATCAGAATACCAGTATCAATTGCTTAGGTGTAATGTAGACTTACTAAAGATCATACAACTTGGTTTATCCTTTTATAATGAGAAAGGCCAGCAGGCGCCTGTTGGAGCTACATGTCAGTTCAACTTCAAGTTTAATTTAACGTAAGTTTGTTTAAATTAATATACTGTTGTGCTGCATATACAGAGGGTTGTATAGGTGTATGTCTGCGATATGTGGTTAGCTAAATGCAATAATTTTTTTTTTTGTGTTCTGTGACCAAAAGGTTGAGGATGCCCCGAGAAAAGCTTGAATTAATTATTAATATTTGAGATTTTGTTTCTTATATTTGTTGGGATGTTCAGTTTCAAGACCTCTGGAAGATAAATAATGACTATGAAAACATCTAATGAGATTGATGAAGGTCTGTAAATTGCTAGGTGCAGTCTTTCTTTTCCTTTTCACCACTTTTTTCTTCACATAAGAACAAGATAAAGAACGATACTTAACATACTGATTATCATGACCTGAAAGCTGAAATAAAATTTTGATATCAGTGATTAGTGCTTAGTTAGTTTTTTGGTCTGTGAACTGTGCCAGCGACCCCTCCTGTATGACACACTATACAGCTACAGTAGTTACCATGGTAAATGCCATTTACTGTGGTGCGCCTCTGTGTGGGTAGTGGCCCAGTGGTAAGTGCTTTCCAGTTGGTAAGAAGAGGACGCAATTCATGCCCTGCCAAAGTCATTGTGTTTCAAGAGTTTTTACTCTCACAGTGCCTCACTCCATGCAGCTGTACCGGTGACTGTGAGGGACTACCATTTGGTCAAGGGAGAAAAGAAAATTGCTAAAGGAAATGGGTAAAAACTCATGCCTGATGAGCCACTTGGCTTATTTGCAGATGGTCAGCTTGTTGAAATTGCTATCCAGAGGTCTGCTGTGACTTCTTGCTGGATTTGTTTCTTGTTAGTTCATAGTTAATCTCTTGGGTCCTGTGTATAACCAACAGGTTTTGGCTCCTGGAAGTTGGGGTTTATGTTTGATGTGGATTGTTGAATTGTGATTTGAAGTGGAAAAAGGTGATAGAAATCTTCCATTAGATAAACAAAGTATTTATAACTTTTTTTTTCATACTTTACAGGGAAGATATGTATGCCCAAGATTCAATAGATTTACTCAATCGAGCAGGGATTCAGTTTAAAAGACATGAAGAAGAAGGAATTGATGTTGGTGACTTTGCAGAGCTGCTTATAACATCAGGACTTGTACTTAATGAAGATGTAAAATGGTTATCATTTCACAGGTGTTTGTGATACTGTTTGACAGTTCCTTTCCATCAAGCATCTTCTCCATTCTTGTCCTGTACTGTTCTTCATGCATGTTTTATGTTTCTAATAACTAAGGAGAATTGGTTGAAGGTTGATAAATTTTCTCTTACCAGCCTGGAGCAGTCATGCAGGCCTACCAGGCCCCTTTTTAACAAACGTTTTCTTTATCTCAGCCAACATTGCTTGCATGTTCGACAGCTGATATTATTTACTACCCGATGGTTTACTCTGCTAGCCTTAGGCTATTTGACAAAAACTTTTTTGTGTCCTGACCACACCTTGGTTGCCATATATTGCTTAGTTGTTGCTACTGAAGCGCAGCAGCCTATTAATATTCTCCTACAAGACTTACATGTAGTTATTCAGACACTTTTTCTAATGTCAGTTAATTCTTTTCTTTTGTTTTCTAGTGGTTATGATTTTGCTTACCTTTTGAAAGTCCTGACTGCACAAAACCTGCCGAGTGAGGAATCAGAATTCTTTGATCTCCTTAAGCTATATTTTCCAAATATTTATGACGTAAAGTACTTAATGAAAAGTTGCAAAAGCCTTAAAGGTGGTCTACAGGAGGTGGCTGAACTACTGGAGGTAAGAATCCAAATAAATAAATCTTTTAGTGAATCTAGGCAGCTGCAAATTCTCTTGATTATTGTTTGATTAATTTTGGAGTTAATCATGAAACAAACAAAAAACAAAAGCAATTGAAGTAAAGTAAATGTTGAGTAACTGTTAACAAACTTTCTCTTTTAAATTTATTTGAAGCTTGAAAGAGTAGGACCCCAGCATCAAGCCGGAAGTGATAGTCTTTTAACAGGAAATGCATTTTTTAGAATGAGAGAGGTATGCGTCCATTTTTCCTGTTTTATTTAGTAAGTTATATGATATTGTAAAAATCCTGTTTTGTTTGAAGAAACAATCAAGTGCATTGTGAGGACAAATTGAAAAAATGATTTAATAAGACATTAATATATTACTACAGTCCTCAAATCAAATCGATAAAACACATCACTGAACCAGATGACGGACAACAATGTCAAATCAATCCTCAAAGCACTTTGTTTAAGGTGTACTTAACTGTAGTATATCGTGTTAAGCCATAAAGATCCAAAGATAATGATTATATTAAAGATATCTTATGATTTGCATTTTTTTTAACAATTGTCAAATTGTTAAAAAAATTGTTGTTTTTTGAACAATGGCTTTTCTAAGAGACCAAACATTGCTTGTACTCAAATTCTGATAGACAGCAGTAGGCCCAGAGCAAGGATTTCTACACTGGCTTGCAGAAGGACCTTACAAGAGGGACTCATCTTGTGAAAAATCATGAGTCCCTGTCCAGAACCAATGAGTCCCCGTGAAAAAAAAGGAAAAAAGAAAAAGAAAAAAAAAAAAACCCAAGGAGTCCTAAATTGTAAATGCTTAGGCCTTTATGTAACCAGACAGTAATCTGGAGACAGACTCCAAAACTCTTTATTACAGTTTACTGAATTTAAAATATAGTCCTTCTTTTTACTTAAAACACAAAAAAGACTAAAATAAATAATTATGCGTCTTTAAACAACAGCCACCGAAATCACACAAACAGGATATTTTACCAAAAAATCTTCAAATTGATTGATCGTTCTCTGCATCCTACGGGACGCATGCCATGAATTATTTTGCATCTTTGGGGATTTTTATGCAGCAGGGACGCAGGACCCAGAGGTAACAAAATCACTGGGTTCAGGCTAAGTTGGCAATTTTTTAATAATATCATTGTTGTTTCCATTCCGTAGATGTTTTTTGAAGACAATATAGATGATGCAAAATACTGTGGACACCTTTATGGGCTAGGGACTTCATATGTAAATGGCGGACAGGCCTACAGTGGACCTACATCTAACAGCAACAACAATTCTTCCTGATACATGTGAAGTGTGTATTTTAACCCTGTATCATCAAGATTTTTATTTCACATTTTCCTACATCCCTGTTACAGTGTATAATTTTTAAGAAAATATGAGAACTTAAGAAAATCATATTTCAAAGAAACATTTTTTAGTTTTCTTTTTATGTCCATCACCTTGACACTAATTTTCAAAACAAAACATCTGAAATTTTTTGTTCTATAAAATTTACTCATAATTTGTGTTATATGGGCCAAAAAATTTCTAAGAAAGTTCTGGCTTGTTTTTTTTTCTGAATGAGCATTTTGTACTGTACTGACAAAGAAAGGCCAAAATAAAGTTTCCAAAAAAAACCCCGTTATATCACTAGTTGAAACTAGCAGTCCATTTTTGCCAAAATTTTGAAAACTAATTGCATGATGATGGATATTGTATAGCCTGAGAAAACAGCCGACATTTGGCCATGCCACCAGTGGTGACCCTGTGGAATGACATCTGGANCTAGGGACTTCATATGTAAATGGCGGACAGGCCTACAGTGGACCTACATCTAACAGCAACAACAATTCTTCCTGATACATGTGAAGTGTGTATTTTAACCCTGTATCATCAAGATTTTTATTTCACATTTTCCTACATCCCTGTTACAGTGTATAATTTTTAAGAAAATATGAGAACTTAAGAAAATCATATTTCAAAGAAACATTTTTTAGTTTTCTTTTTATGTCCATCACCTTGACACTAATTTTCAAAACAAAACATCTGAAATTTTTTGTTCTATAAAATTTACTCATAATTTGTGTTATATGGGCCAAAAAATTTCTAAGAAAGTTCTGGCTTGTTTTTTTTTCTGAATGAGCATTTTGTACTGTACTGACAAAGAAAGGCCAAAATAAAGTTTCCAAAAAAAACCCCGTTATATCACTAGTTGAAACTAGCAGTCCATTTTTGCCAAAATTTTGAAAACTAATTGCATGATGATGGATATTGTATAGCCTGAGAAAACAGCCGACATTTGGCCATGCCACCAGTGGTGACCCTGTGGAATGACATCTGGAACAAGCTGATGACAGGGCACTAACCAGATCTAGGTAGTGCTTCTGATTGGTCATACCCAGAGGAAAGTTGCTTCAACCAATCAGGAGCACTACCCAGATCTAGGTAGTGATACTTCATTTGTATGGAATTTCTGTGCACACTTCTCAGACCTCATTTCTCGGGGAATTCAGTGGTAGCGTCGCAAAATATTGGCTGTCTTCTCAGGCTAATATTGTAAAGACCTTCGGAATTTAAACTTGACAGTTCAACAGGAACATGGATGCTTGTAATGCCGAGTTCTAACTACAAACCTACTTGAATTTTTTAATATTCTTTTTAGATTTAAACATATTACCATAGAAAGAGGCATATATATTATCATATCACAGAAGTGTAAATTCATTTTAAGTATAAACCAATGGGATTACTCTTCCAATGCTACATTTCATTGTGCATTCAACAATGCTTTTGTATTACTTATTCTTGTTAAAGTGTAATCTTTTTCTGTGGTGCAACATTTACTCATTCGGTTTTACTTACATGTCGATGTAAACGTTGTCATCAATGTATCATAGTTTGTTGACCGTATTCATAACCAAATCTTCACTTCCTGTTTGAGATTTTGTAATTATGATGTTTTGTATTAATGTAGATTACTTTAAATTAAATTAATTTGTTTTTTGTTGCTCAAGCTCTGTCTACTTTGTAGCTCCAGTATGCAGAGGAGTAGTAAACAAGTGGTCAAAAAATGGTTTTGCCCAGAGTGATGTGAGCTCCATTCCAAAACTTTGTGATAGCAATACAATCCCAGCAGCTCGCCATATACAAAGTTATTTGGGTAGCCAATATTTACACTTGTTATTCTAGATAACTCCGTTTATGTAACATCATTTCCACTTCATTGCGATATCCCTTCGGTTCAAACTTGTGAGTGGTATTTTTGCAATTTCATATAACTTGTCAAAGTACCACTACTTTTCGTTACTCAAGATAAGAGTAGACTTTATATACCATTAATGGTGACATTCAAGTTGTACAAAAAATTGAACTCTGTCTCTTATCCACCTACGTAGCAGGGAGGCCATTGGTTTCTACTTGCCTGTGAAAGTGCATTCACTGTATTTATATATTCTAATCCGTGTAATTAGTAGTTTATACTAGGAGTGTTTGCAGGGAAATGGTCATTAAAGTTCAAAATATGAATGGAAGAAGAGAATAATTATCTTTTTTGTTGTTTGCGTTAATGATAAACTTGTCCTTCAAATTTGGGTGGGAAGTGTTTTTTTAACACAGGATAAAAAGTTAATAATTAATAATTCTGTCCAGTAGTTATTTTATCCAGGTATGCCTAGGCTGGTAGCAAGAAAAGGACTTTTGCCTGTTCCCTGGAGTGTAGTCTTGTTTGTTTTGGTCTAAACTCATCTTTTGTGGTTTTCTTGCTTACTACTGATACCCTTCTGCAAGAAAGCTTAAAACAATGAGTTTACACCAAACTCAAGAATAGAAAGAAAAAAGGCAAGCCTTGTTACTGTATTATTGGACAAAATTGAAATTATTTAAAAATATTCCTCTTTTATGTTCGAGTTTTCAAACCTCGATATTTTATCTCTCACACAGCTCATATTTTCAGTTATGGCCTCCTGTAATACAATACTGCTTTATGTAAAGGTCAAGTTCGACACTGTCCAACGCGCCTAAATGGAATGGTTGTTTCATCATACCCTTTCCGCTTGATGTGAGCATGGGCTGCTTGTGGTTTGAAGTATTATTGGTTATCTGCCATGGAGAATTTATGATCCAAAATGGCATAATTAATAATTCAGAGCTGGTTAATGGCATTTTATTTATATTCTCAATTTCGTATCAGTACACAAAGATAAACCTACAGAAGTCTCAGCAACAAAAACAGCCTTAAATACTAGATGTGCTGCTCGTCACAAAAATAATATGCTATCACCAACTAAGTTTTACAACAGAACACTTTTACAGTGATATTAATGTTTGGTTAAAATTGTCAGTTTATTAAATTGTATTTACATTTGTTTTGCTCTATTCCCTACATAAATTATTTTCTCTTACACCCAATTTGCAAAACAGTCACTAACAAAGCATTGTTTATATAGACAAAATGATACTAAATTAAGGAAAATCAACAGTTCATGGTTAGTTTGCTTTTCATTGTAAATAATAGTTATATGATTAAATTATACATGTACTATAACAAAAGCAAAATATCGGTAACTTTCCTGTGCTTAACTAACACCAATTTCTCAAAACCCCGTACGGTATTATACAATAATAGTTCTTCGACAATTTACAAAAACTTGTCAGAAACAAAACTTTTGAGCTTTTAAACCACATCTTTGAGTGAACATTCAAGTGAAACGTCTTTGGCATGACTTTTTCGTGTTGCTGTTGTTTCCTAGGCCACCACTGAAGCCAGAACCACAAAGTGTGTTCAAAGTAATGTATGAGCTCAAAAACAATACACTAGCAATATTATCTCCTACTCTTCAAAATATAACGACCTTCCCCCACCTAGAGAACTGCTGCTTTACTGACAAATGCTATGAACGAGAGAAAGGAAAATGCTTACTGGAAGACTACTGTCCAGTTTCCACATTTTGTAGACTGGTTTTCGTTTGAGTGTCGTAAAACCAAAACCAAAGTAATTACTCTGGCCAATCACATAGGACACAGACAATACATTGAACCAATCAAAACTCGAAGTATTTACATGTGGCTGACGCAAAGCGCGGGAAAATGCATGCGAGCGCGTCACAATTGGCTTTGGTTTTACTTCTGATTGGATGAAAAAGTGGCGCGAATCTTTTAAGCCAATCGCATCGTGTAGAAAGTGCAAAACCAATTACTTTTCGACACTCAAATGAAAACCGCTCTAAGAAAACTGCCACATGCTGAATACTAAAAAGGTTTTAACCCTTTAAGTCCCGATAGTGACCAACATCAATTTTCTCCCAATGATATACGTACATTGTCAAGAGACTAGGTTATGAGAATTAATAAAATGATCACCTAAGAGAAAATGCTTTGATCTTTTGTCAAATTCTCTCAACTCATTCTTTAAGGAGATATATAGAGATCAGTTTGGAGAATTTGTATGTGGATATTGGGGCTTAAAGGGTTAACTCTGCCCGTTGCACACCTGCATCATATAACATCTCTTTCAGCCCAATCTACCACATTTAAGGAGGCCCATAAAGATTTTCATCTGAGTATTCACAATATGAACTTTTTATCCCTAAATGGTTTAGTCATCAGTTTTCTCTACAATCTAGAATTACTGGCAAAATATGCAACTCAAAGTGGTATCAAAATTTTTCTTACAACCAAAACAATTGCACTGCAAAAATTGCTATTGCACATCATGCATATTGAAAGTTGTCATTGTCTCACTGCTAGCTGATCTTTTGAATTCAAACCGGACAGAGCGTGTTTTACAGCTGACGCTTACAAAAAACACAGTAAGCACAATCCATGAGATGGATAGTGTTCCTGTGTCTTTCGCATGACATTCTTCTTCTTCCTACAAAGGACTTGCCACACTTTTGGCAAAATATTGTCTCAGGGGCTCTGTTACAATTACATACTGCGTCCTGCAAACAAGGTAAAGAAAAAATAATAAATGACAAATCTGGAAATCAATAAATGTGCAACTACGAAGCATCTTAAGCATAACAAGTTAGAAGTATCCTGGACAGCAACGCTGGCTAAAGAAGAGGTGTCAACAACGGAAATGAACAAAAAATTTCAACTTCAGTAAATTTTTATAAAACAAACCAACGCTGAGATTATTCCAATCGCAAATGTGTGGAAATTGCCCTGCTCAATTATGGCACAGCTTAAACCTTCAAATAGCAACAGCCTTATATTGAACGGAAACTTGGTAGTATATCATATTGAAAGGGAAATTGCACAATCACTCGGTCTAAAAGAATAACCTTCATTCGTACATGCAAAAGGTGTGAACATCGCCTGTCGATAGCCACAGCGAAAGTCCATGTTCTTTCGCTCACGTCTCGCTAAATAAAACCTTATCAAGCGTTTTTTAAATTCAAGCAGGCATTAAAAGTGATCTTTTCTACTAACGTAATGTGTATAGTGATTGTCTTCTAAGGAAATCGGGAGCTACTAAAAAATAAGTTGCACCACGCGCACAGTTCTTAAAACAAACGTGACTCCCACCTTATCTGGCTTCAAGTTGTTGTTGTTCATATTACTGCTGCTGCCGTTATTTGCTCCTAATATTCGCTCGGAGTGGTTCTTCTCCATGTGAGTTGGAGCTGCAAGCAGACAAAGGGAACAAAACAAGTGAATTTTCGACGACACGAATGCAAAGCTTCTCACGTCCTCACGATCTTACTCGCTGCAGTAAAGATCAACTATCAAAACGTTTCATTACACAGTAAAAGCCTTGGTACTTACTATCAACTTCGTGAAAGTAATACATCAGTTCTTTGTTCATGTTTTTGAAGTGCTTCGAGAACTACCACACTGTGCGCTGAAGAGCTGAAGATTGTCACTTTTGACAGCGATTTTGCGCACGTGTGCGCGGTTTTGGCGCCATATGTGACGTCACTACGGTCACTCGCGGTAGAAAAATGAGATACAAAGAGCCAGTTATCAAACAAAGGAAATGTATTTCCCCTGATTTCCGCCGAAGAATTTTTGCTGCCCTCCAAATCTATTGTTTAAAGGCAGGCGATTTTGTTTTTACTTTGGACGCGAATAAGCGATTAATGTTGCTAAAGTAAGTGAAAAGACACATAGCATAATCGGTCTTTACTGCCATACCGAAGCTCGTAGTCTTGGTAAAATATCGTGATCAGTGTTGATCAACCGTGAGATCGCAAATTGAAGTAGTCAACACGGCGGCTCTGACGCTCGTCCTTATAAAACGCGGCTTCCAAAGTATAACTCTATAAAAACGAACAAAAAAGTCAGTCATCTGCCGAGGAATTGCAGTTTGAAAAGTTTATCTTGTTTGTCTTTTAATATTTCAATTCAATCGGCATTTAAAATGACACAATATTCGAACAATTTTTTGCACCATTTGAACAATAGAGCTCAAAATTAGAAAGGCTCCGAAAGTTTGATTCAAAAGACTCAAAACAATAACCGCAACAAGAGACTCGCACTTTACTTACTTGCCTGACTTGGGCTTACAAAGCAACAGACTTTTTTAGCTGGCATGTGATGCGGTGGTTTCCCTAGAGACCCGTTCGCCGGACAAAAGAAACGGCCACTCCCAAATACGGATATCACAGTTCTCGCTTGGCTTCCGTTTTAACGAGATCTAGCGCAATAAAAATATGTATGTAGTAAAGAAGCCAACAAATCCATAGAAGTGAAGGGAAGAATTATTCATCCTTCATTATATTGTATGCAACCAAAAAGCCGAACAAGACCTTCACAACACGAAACAAGCAAGCGACGAGTGTATTTACCTCGTTCTCAGATACGAAGATACGTGGATACGTAGTGACTGAGTATCCGCGATATCCTCCTATCTTTAGCATGTTCAGGGGTTGCTTTAGAGTCCAGGAGGGAGTACTCCGGATCTCAAGTGACAGGGATGATCGAATGATTTTTTTGGGTTTGAAATTTTCGATTTCGGGATTTTTTGGGGTGGGAAAATTCTTGCAAGTATTTTTTTTGGTAGCTTGATTTAAGCAGGGATTTTTTTGGATATTCAAAACTTATGTTTCTATTTTTCGTGTCATATCATTTAATGCTTTCTGGAAATTTTTATGACTCAGAAATTCAGCATGGGAGTTTTTTTGAGTTTTGTTGGAAACACTAGGGATTTTTTGGGTTTTTATTTTTGCCCCCATTCGATCATCCCTGCCACTTGAAATCCAGAGTATAAGCCCCCGAGCTTTAAAGTGGCAGGGTATTCTACAGTTAAGCCAAAACAGACGAAGCTCTCTGTAGTAGACAGCTTCAGGGAGCTTTTAGGAAAAGTATCCACACCAGGATTCAGATAACTGTTTTCAGGGATGTTTTCAGTTTCTAAGCGGGGAGACTGTATGCCCGGGACTGTATGTAAGACACTGAACAGACTTGCCATGTACAGTATAAAAACAAGGAAACATATAATACCTCATAACGTTTTACTTCTTTTATACTCACAGAATAATAAAATAGCTTATTTCTTAAAATTGAGTAGCTTACTCTCTTGAGGTTTATTACATTAAAATTTTTGAGAGCTGGCTATTCGTCATTTTTCAAACTTTTCCCGGTCACCAATCTCTCGCCAGACATGGTGAAAGAGTCATAACCTAGTAAAAACATTTTTTTTCAATTTGCAAATCAATGGCTTTAACCCGCCTCTCTATTCTTTTATCAGAAGATTATAACTTACAAACGCTTGAAGAAACCGTGACTATTTGTATTCTATCATGCCACGCCTAGCGATTTTATTCTCGATGTAAGAACAGCTGTCATGGATCTGGGACGCTCTTCACTTGGCTATCAACTCAGTATTTGTTACTCTGTCAAAAGGATTTTTTAGCGACTGAGGTTTTTTATTTATATATAGAGTAAAACTCAGTCTTTCTCAGAAGGATATACTCCATTACAACTCAAGTTCCTCTCCCTATCCAACCGAATTTCTACGACTGTAAACTAGTGTAGTTTCTGTGAAATTATGCAGCTTTAATTTAGACATTCGAGGGTGTACTACATTAAGTACGTGGCAAAGTACATCACAATAGCGAATAATACTATCATGGCTGAAAACAGTCCCAGTTGAACTTTGATAAACACGTGAAGGCCTTCCTCTATGTGTGAAATTTTCTTACTGGTTGCGTCAAGCTGCAAAAGAGAAAATACATTCTTAAAATAGCACTAATACGTAAAGACCGAAGACGGGAGCGGAATAACGTGCACGCAAGAAGACGTATACCGTCAATTGCCGTTTATACCCCCCCTACCCACGCCCGCAGTTGTAGGCCCATCTACCTGTAAACAAAAAGTACACCCTATTATAAGCCCCCCTCTTGGCTCTAACTTGTATTAAAGGACCTTAAAGTACATTCGAGTTACTCTGACGTTTTGAAGCTTAGTATTAAATACCAGTCAGAAATGCAGAACGTATTTTGATCAGCACTGCTATAGCTTGATTCGAAGCGCTCTTCTTATTCCGGTTAAGGCCCCATTGGGTGTAAGCCCCCCCCCCGAAACCCCTTACGAAGATGTACAAGCCCCCTCGGATGTAAGTCCCTCCATTTAAAAGCCCCCTAGGATATAAGCCCCCTCGGGTATAATTCCTTCCGTTTATAAGCCCTCCTATAAATCCTTTACGAAGATGTACAAGCCCCCTAGGATATAAGTCCCTCCGTTTAAAAGCCCCCTAGGATATAAGCCCCTCCGTTTATAAGCCTCCTCGGATATAAGTCCCTCCGTTGACGGTATTGCTGACAACTGTACACTTACTCACGGGGCGAAAAGTATCGACTCACAGATCAACTTTCGAGATTACTTGAGAACGTATTTTTTCACTATGACGGCCGTCAATTTTGAAACCTCTTCAAAGATGGCCAATTTACCACATTCCTGACCATTCAGCTTCCCCTGATCTTCTTTTTCCAGCCCCCTGGGAACGAGGTTAAGCTGCACAGTTTTTATTGGCCAGTTTGAGGTTACGTGAAGGACTGGGTCGGCCTTGTTGCATTGAATTGCTTTATGTGGCTGTTTTTGATAATATTTTTCATAATAGGGAGGTTAAGCATCACGTTTACGTCAAACGGCAAACGCGAATTTGTAACACGTGACCAAGTTTCCCGTTTTCTTGTCGTTTACTGTTCATTATTTCTACACCTAAATTCGTAGTATCACGCAATTTCTTATCCATAAGAATTGTTTTGAGTTGTTTTTATCTGCCTATTTTCTATTTTGAGAAATTCTAAACTTGACTCTGACGTTTGCCGTATACGTGAAGCTTAATCTCACTATTAGCCAATTAAAGAAGCGCTAGCGCCCCAAAACAATCCCATGCTGTAATTTGATAAAACACCGATCCAGTGCCCCGCGAATTGGCCAATAAAAACTAGCCCTAGAATTCATGATTGTTTCCTACAGAACAATAATGTACTCACCTTCCTCTCAACGTCATTAAGTTGTCTTTGTAGTGATTCAATGCTATCGATGGCCATACTCAGTGTTACAGGTTTACCGTCCACAATATCGGAATACTGTAACTGGGAATTCGATGCAACGAAACGGCACTGAAGTCTGTAATAAAACAAGAGAGTTCATTTAAATATGAAACTATCATACATCCAACTAGTCACCTATCATCGACTAAATTCCTATAGCGACTGTGTTCAGTTTAAGGTGTCTCTAATTAAAACAGCGGCTACTTTTTGTGCTCAAGCTGTAACGCTACTTCTGTCATGTTTTTCTGGTACCTTTGCCAAGGCTTCGCCCTGGTTGTTTATTTTTTTCAAATTTGGAGATTTATAATTTCTTGACGAAGTCCTTTTTCCTAGCCTCCATGGCATATTCTTACAATTCGTAAATTGACTCACCGGTGTTCCACAATATTCGCCTTAGGTATCGACCTCCAGAGTGCCGCAAGTTCACTTGGAGATTTTTCTTCCTGCAACTCGGTCGACATAACCAAGAATTTATCTCTAATAACACTTGCAGCGTGACCTGTCGTTCGTAAAAAACACCAAAGAAATGAGAGAAAAGAAATACTTTACCAGCAACGACACCAACATGAATTGAGCCCATAACGTCACAGACACTAAACAGGCTCTGTTACCACTGAGGTATGGAGAGAAGACTCTCTCCCCTAGTCCCCTCCGCAGAGGCCTCTTTGTTTCGTAGGGAGGCTGGGGAGAGGGAAAAAGAAGGCGCAAGGAGGATGATAGGAAGGAGAAATAGAGGAACAGAAGCTCCCGCCTTTTCTCTCTTACCACCATCCAACTTTTTAGTTTTTCACTATCTTTACTTGAATATACAGTGGGAGTCTCTGCGGAGAAGAGAGGCGAGAAGTTGAGCATTCGCCACACGTTATGTGGCAGGCGTCCTGCATACTGTTAGGATCAGTGATGCTGATAGCGTTCAGCGTGGTGGTGAACTAGAAACCATCACCGAAAGAGTGTCTGAGTGATATTTTTCAGCTTGAAGTTTTAATGTTTTCTTACCTGGTTGCAAAAAGACGCTAACTTCAGCGGATGAGCTGGCGGGGATGACGCCAGAGCTGGGGCGTACGCGATAGCTCTCTGGAGAGGTGGTCTTAACCTGAATAAATGCGAGTGACGAAGAAAGGTGATAATCTGAAAAGTTAGTCGTCTAAACCCTTTACCCGTCTCCTATTCTTCCCAGTGACTCACTGTATGTTCTTCATCGTAGTTTTTCAAACAGAGTCGAAAGTGAAACAAACCTTAAACGCGACGGATGATACAGTGTTATTGGCGAGGGATAAAGATTGGAGAATTTCCCCAGTTGAAGTCGTTCCAATAAATACTAACTCCTCAGGAGGTCTGCAATCAAAACAAAACAGCCACGTTATTAGAACTTCTCATGGAGAAACACCTCTCAAAAGCGACTGCGACCCACTTTTAAGCCTGACAGTTTTGCATGCAGTTTTCCATTCTTTTAGATCTCTCGTAAGTGACCACTTGACGCATCAGATGTTGTCTCTTTGCAGTTTGTGCCTTTGCTATGCCATTCAGAGTATACGAAGAATTTTCAGTGACTACATAGAACTACACGTAATACGTAAACGTAGTAAAACTTTGAAATTGCGTGCAATAAATAAAAAGTAGATCCCCTCTGGTTCGACGACGACTCTCGTAAGCGACTGTTAAATTCTTGCATTTTGGATGGTCGCTTACGGGAGGTACGACTGTATTTACTACATACACTAGGGCACGAAATATAACATACTTACGTAATGAGAAGCAATTTAGATGTGTTCACAAACCCATCAGGGGGAGCACGTCTTTGGGATGACCGCGATTGAACGGCTCGTAACGTTGGCTTAGACGGAGTTTCCCTCTACGAAAAAATACAACAGAAACAGATTTCAAAACGTCAATTTGATTCTGGAAGCATCATTATTACGAACAACGGAAAAACTAAAGAGTCTGTCCTAAGTGAAAGCTTAGATTGAAACGCTAACAGAGTCGCGTGCGTTTTTGACAAGTGAAAGAGTCCGAACGGCAAGCTTCAGCTGGAAAGCGAAAGAATTACTAAATGAACATGAATAAATCATGCGTAAGCACAAGTTCAGTAAAAATTGACAGAATTTAAAAATCTGTACCTGAAATTTTCGACGCGATCGACCTCTGAACCACTAATATCAAGATAACTTAGGAAAAAACACTGTTAAACACAATTCAGACTACGTGAGGGAGGCAATGGCTACCTGTCTTATATTTGTTGAAAGAGGCGAGTTTTCCACGCCGTAGTTTGCTGTAGAATTTGCATCTTCAAACGTAACCTGAAACGAATCAACAGCAAGACTTTCAGTAACTGTCCTTCCGGCTCGCAACCAAATAGCTGTAACACAGAAAAACAAAGTCTGAAACAGCCAATCATAATTAAGTTCTTAATTCTGCAGCTAAGGGAGTTTGTAGAGCAGTAAGTAGTTAAAACGTTCCGACAGAGTAACATACAAATTTGCTAACACAGGCTGGTAAGTGAATTTTAACTTAAATGATTATAAAACAAACGGAAGGGAAATTTCGCAAAAGCGCTCAAACTCAGGGAACGCAAATTTGCCGACTTTTGGCGATATTAGAGAGATTTTAAAAGATTCAAGTTTACGCCAAACGGCAGGGGACGTGAATATTTGTACCCGTGACCAAGTTTTCTTCTTATTTTCCGTTTACTCTGTATTGTTTCTAGACAAAAATAAGTTGTTTTATACCAGTTTTAACCATAGGAATAGTTCGGGGCTATTTCTATCGGCTTATTTTCTATTCTGAGAAATTCTCAACTTTACTCTGACGTTTGCCGTTTGCGGTTAAGGTTAATCTTAATCTCTCTTTTATGTAAATATGACGACAATAAAGTGATCTCGCAATATAAGGAGATGTAACCAGTGTCAAGTCAAAAGTGAACTGATTCTCACCGTTTTAGATGAAGGAACAGGGGCTTCTTCACGCTCGGATTGCGATTCAGACTGCGATGCAATCTGATTGGAAAACTCCTCACTGCTATCATCATCCAAGTCCACACTTTGGCTCAAAGGCCCGTTTGCAATTTCACCCTCCTCTATACTGTTAAAAAGAAGTGAAACATGTCATTAACAAAGCCCTCTCCGAAAGGTTAGTCCTACAAAGTAGCGCAATGCTAGCAGAGTCTTTCTTTTACTGGCTCGATTTTGGCGTTCTCGAGAAAGACTGTAAATGAATCGAGTAAGATCTTTGTTGAGCATACACTGTGCTGTATGTTGTTGGGATACAGTTCTGAACCCAGGCCTAATATAGCCGTTCGCTTGGTACAGCAGGTTCAGTTAGGACCACTGGTTCATCAATAAACCGATGCTTGAACTCGGAAAACCAGTTTGACAAGAGAAAACAAGATTGACTAGTCAAGAAGTTCGGGATTTGGCGACGTCAAAGGCTTGACGCGGTTCGGGCAGAGCATACCTTTGTGCTCCTCACTCAAGAAGACAAAAGCTAAAGAGGGGCCGCTTGCAAGGTAGCAATGTAACAGTTAAATAACTTAAGTGTGAGCTTACTTGTCTGGATCTCCAATTCCAAGAGATTCTTTGGTGGGAGGATAAGAGTACTGATAGGGATCCTACAAATCACATTTCAGTTTCAGTACAACAAAGTTGAACATTATTTTGCATGTCTTTCACTTTGGTACATCTATAACTTTTAATTAAAAACATATGGCTAATGTTTCGGTCGGGAAGTAGAAACACAACACTAATGCTGGCAGTGAGCCAAAAGGGTAGAAACTGTTGCTAAAATAACAGGATCACACTTGGCAAGTTTTGTGGCTAACCCAGCTAACCTGTAGGGCAGCCAGGCACTCTTTGCATTTTCATGCACCCAAATTCCCCCTTTCTTCCTTCATTTTCAAACGCGAATATCTGCGAAGGCTTTTTCTTTGAGCGTGCAAGATAGAGAAAATATTACACCCATATTTTTTGGTCAAAATGGATGGACATTGGACTTCGCATTTTGTTTTTATGGGCTTCAATGAAAGGACAAAAAAAGAACAAAATAAGAACTCGAGGTTTTTTTGACAACTAAGCTAAGTCCAGATTGATTCTAATTTTACTCCTCATTGATGGTAGAAACTAAAAAACGTAAACTACAGTATGTACTTTTGTTTGCTGAATAACTAAAATGCTGGTACTCACAGTTCCACCTAATCTGGTAAGAAGTTTATCTTCATCTACAAGTTCTTTTAGTTCCGCTTTGCTTAAAAACCTACATTGTTACAAAATTAAATAAAAGAATCACTTGTTGAAATGACTTGGCGTTTTGTCTCAGACAGCTGCTATTAAATTGCCCACATTCAACTGACATCACTACCATAATTGCCTGATCCAGTAAGAAAAGAGAAAGGAGAACATTACCAACCCTTAGGGCTGGGGCATAAAATGGGTACATGCAACTTGCAGGGATGTGAAATAGGGACATGTTGCAGGGATGTAAAATGAGGACACGTTGCAAGGTGACGTGAAATAAGGATATGTTGCAAAGTAGTGAAATGGAGACATGATGCAGGGATGAGAAATCAGGACAAGCTCTTGGGGAATGGGATAGGGACATGTGTCAGGGGCACAGAATAAGGGCAAGTAGCAAGGACGTGAAATGGGAACATGCAGCAGGGGGAATGAAATGGAACCATGTTGCAAGGATGTGAAATAGGGACATTTGGGAGGCACGTAAAATAAGGAAATGTCACAGGGATGTGAAATAACGACACTTTGCAAGGATGTGAAATGGGAAAATGTTGGAGGGACATAAAATGAGGAAATGTCACAGGGACATGAAATAAGTATGACATGTTGCAAGGACAGGAAATAGGGACATGTTGCAAGGACGTAAAATGAGGAAATGTTACAGGGATGTGAAATAACGACGTTGTAGGGACATGAAATGGGAACATGCTGTAGGGGCATGGGATAGAGACATGTTGCAGGGACAAGTAGCACAGACATGAAATGGGAACATGCTGCAGAGGTAAGAAATGGAACCATGTTGCAAGGATGTGAATTCACATAAGATAGGGACATGTTAAAGCGGCACAGAATAAGGACAAGTAGTAAGGGGATGAAATGGAGAGATACTGTAGGGGAGTGAAATGGGGTTTGCTGGGAGATGACAAACCAGTCTGAAAGCTAAAATTGTAGAAATTTGATAACCGACCAACCTCAATGGATTCAGGAGAAGCTTAATTATTGTTAGCTCATACCTGATTTTATTCACAGCTTCAGGGCTCAACCATGACTTGATAATTTTCCAAGCAGCTGTTATTGATGAAAAAATTAAAAAAACACAAAAAAAACACTTTAACAACTGTGAAGGAAACACTTTTCATTTTAAACAGTAAAACAGGAATATTTTGTTCATCAAGACTGCTTGTTTTATAAGCTAGGCTGCACGCTTCACCTAATGAATTCTATTCACAGTTTGCAAAGTGATTAGAGAACAAAAATGAGTCAAATAACATAGCACTAATCTTAGTAACCTAAATGAAAAGAAAAAAGAAAATAACATGGTCTAGAATGGAAGAAATGGAGTGGAAGAGAATAAAAAAAGAATATGATGGAATGGGATAAAATGGAATGGAATAGAATAGAACAGAAAAGAATGGAATGGAATACACTGAAATAGAATTGAACGAAATATAATGAACACGACAAAATACACTAAGAAATGCGTTGCAGTATCAATTCACAAGCCATACCTGATAAAATCCATGGTAATTCAATAACTAATAACAAGGCTAAGGATGAAGGAAAAAGAATGTTGTTGGTTTTACTTTACATAATTTGAATTAACACCTTTTGAAATTTGCATCTAGTAGACATTGCTTTTAATAATGGAGCACACATGAGCTAGATCTGACACAACACCATGCCAAGAACAACAAATATTATATATCTTGATTTTGAAAACATCGATGCTTAGGGTCAAAATTTTGTGACCGACTAACTACAGCTTAGTCGCATGCTCAAAAACAAAGAAAATACATTAACATAATTGAAATTCGTGGGGAAAAGACAAGACATGATCCTCACCTAAAGTCCTTGGGAAATAATCCCTAAAACAACTAATAATAAATTTTACAAATTCCATGTCCTGCAAAACAAAAAAACCCTTTCCATTAGCTACCCAATTGTGCAGTTTCCTGGAAAGAGTAAGTTAACATAACTTGCATGTAACATTATAAATCTAACCATTTGAGCCAGGCCTGTCTGTTGCATGTCAAAGATCATGGTTATTTTCCGTTCTGGAAACATTCTTGCCTGCAAAAGTAAGAATAGTATCAGAGACGGATTCAGACCCTCAGATAATGGGGGGCCTGGTCCCCCCCCAAAATTTTGTGGCCCTTCGGGCCTCGGTTTGGTCTAAAAATAAGGGGGGCCCCTTCCCTGGATTCGCCACTGATTATTACTATTATTTCTATTAATTTTTGTCAGAAGTCACTCAGGGTTTGTTCCAGACATTCCTTAAATTACTCTTCTAAAAAATAATATTTCAAACAGCCAAAGTTGACATATGATTGGAGAAACTATAGTTTAATATAACTCTTGATCACATTGGTTCATACTTACATGCTTTTCTAAGAGAAAAACAAGAAATCTCTTTTTTTCTGAGGATTGCTGGGGGTCTTTCTTGTGCAATTTGCCTGTGAAGATGACTAAAGGAAAAAAAATTCATTCAACGACCGATTGACAGAATATATTATATAAAAAATATAATGACCTATAATATAATATAAAATAAAGTAGTTAGCAGCATTAAAAAATAACATGAGTTACCCAGAGTGTTGCCATCTTTATCTTGGTTGTGTGGAAAGAGGAAACCTGCCTCAAACAGTCTACGGTCAATAGATCTTTCTGTAAGTTCTGTTTGACAAAAACAGCAAGTCACAAAATCTTACTTTAACTTAGTTGAGTTAATTTAGTGAGCGAGAGTTGTTCATATCATTCTATGAAATACCAATAATAATTTATTATTTGTTTGTTGATAAATTTTTATGATCATACCATTAACTCCAAATGACTTTCTCCACTTCACACATTCAACCTTGTAAAAGCAGGAACTATGTGTTAGCCTACTGAGTAGATACCATACATGGTTAGATGTCATGTACTTGTTTGAGTCCAGATGTTATTTAAGTGAAAGAGGGGCTGGTTTCAATCTGTGTTTTGAAATGTTGGATTAAATGGGGGATTCACAGTTTTGAAGCAAATACAGACTCCCTTATACATTGGAAATATTAGTCATAGAATATTTGCTACTAACGTACATCAAAATCTGCACCAGAGGCTGTTTCACCCATCATGAACACTGCACCCTCCCACTAAACATAGTAGTCGTCAGAGTGTACTATGGGGATGGGGGTTGGGCTGAAGAGATGGCTGTCACTCAGACTAATTAAAAAAAAATTGGCATCAAATTTCAGGTAGGTAAGAAAAATCACTTGTCTTGCTTTGAAACAGAATTAGAGTTTCAAAATTACTATCATCTGGTATTACTGAAGAATAGCTCCACCAAAAATCTTTTGGCTGTTCGTCAGTAGACTCTCCACCAACAGTCTGCCGACAGACGACCGACAGTCGGGCAACACAAGACCAATGACAAATGGCAGACATTTGGCAGACAAGCCAAAGGGTGCTGGTGGGGAAGGTGGCTTTATGCATCAGTCAATTCCACCGGCATGCATGCATAAAATTGAGAATACAAAAGGTTTAGAGCGTCTGCGACGCAGGCAAGCCATTACAACTCTCTTCAATTTATTCCTGAGCCAATGAGCCATGAGCCAATCTGCTTGTTTTTTCACTAAAACCTTCTGCGCTGTTATTTTCTGATAGGAAACTGTGTGCGTGTCAAAAGCTAGGGAATGGCGCCGGGGCTGGCAAATGCCCGACCCTCGGGCAGTGCAAAATTTCCTAATGCTCCACCCCCGGGAATGACAAGGGGGGGAAAGGCCGCGCAGTAGCGCGGGGTTTGGGGGGGGGGGTGGTGGTGCTGGGTGCAGGTGGAATTGACTGATGCTTTATGATGGAAGACTGGTGCAAAGAAAGAAAATAACTACAAAGATGGAGGTTACAGGGAATAATCTGTTCCTGATAACCCTATGAAGTTTTCTATCTAAAGAACTAGTAAGCTTACTATGAGATGTAATTTAGCTCACCAAGGCCGGTAATGCATCATTAACTTCCTGTCTTCGGGACTGTAAAAACCGGCTAAGCCAAAGATCGTCATCACGAACTCTTTTTACGTCTTGCTCATAGAACTCATGCAAATTTGAGCCTAAGAAATTAGCATGAATTAAATCACGAGACTGACAAACTGTCGAGCAAAACATCGATCAAAGGGGAACACTGCCATGTACACTTGCTTACAACTTACCATTTTCTTGAAAAAATCGCCGTCTAAGCTCGCTGATTCTGTACCTTTCCAGCTCATTCTGTCAAGAGAGAAAAACCGGTCGTTTCTCAAGTTCATGAAATCAAAACAAATGCAAAATAGAGCTTCCATTCTGATCCCGGTTACCTCATCTGCCATCTTAACATTTCTTCGGCCACAATCGGAAAATTTCGGATGACTTCGTGAGCTGGAGACCCCGTGATCAGACAAAAAGCAAATGGCGGGAGATGTGAAAGTTTTGCCCACAAAAAGTACCTGTAAACTGCCACTATCACTGATTACCTGCTAACTTCATTAGTTTGACCACTACGAGAGTGATTTCAAAACAAAATACATTTTTGATGAGTCCTTCAGGGTAACTTATCTTCAACTGAGGGGAGGAAAAAATGACGTGGTCTATAGGTGTCAATTCAAGGTCAACAGACTTATGGATCGAAGCCTGCTTCTGATTTCGTTTGTGATTTTATCTATTGAACATTCTCTGGGGAAATCAGTCTCCGTGGATTTAAATTTAGCTCCTGAATGGAAAGCTGAGATAACAAAGAGAGCATCGGACTACGGTAATACTAAGTTTTATTTGCATTACTTTCAGGGTTAGAAACAACAAAGAAAGATCGAATTTAAAGCGTTATAACCTTGTCACAAAACCTTTTTGACGAGCTTTTATTTGATCGATAAGCTTAGATCTATGTGTGATGCGTGAACGGGGAACCCTCAATTTATTTTGAATCTTAAAATCTTAGTATCGAACAGTCCAATCGTTGTACGTTGAAATGTAACAAATGATAAGATAATTTCGCTTGTATCAGTTTCAAATGAATATGTTTGAATTCTTATTATGATTCTGATGGTTTGGTGTCCATTTAACATGTAATTCACCTGACAATGTTTTGTGAGGATTTTGTTTTTTCCCGGTGGGGTGCCAATTTGAAACTCAGCGGGTAGTATTTTTTTTAGTTACCATGTTCAGACTGCCTGTTTTTATCTTAACATCTAAGAAACAAAACAAACCAAACGGAAACGAAGAATGACAGTAATCGCCTGCTTGCCATCTTTCTTAGCTTCTGTTCGTTTTTGTTCTTAGCATCAGGGTAGCTGAAGTTTCCCCCTTTCTGTCAAGTTTGGTATAGTTCACTTCACCAGCTGTTTAATTGATTTCTCTCCACTAGTTAATCAAATAAAGACCGGAAGATAAAATACTTATGAACTGACCATATTGATATCAGGTCTGTCACTAAAGGCCACAGGACCCAGGGATTTCCCCTTTTTCTGTCATAGTTATGTTTCTGCAGTCTTTTGGCATGTTTTTGATAGCTGACAAGATTATTTTGTCATTACAGTCACTAAAGGGAATTTGATAGTCTTAAGTTCATGTAAGGCAGCTTTCACACCTGGTGCCCGGACACAGTGCCCAAGAATGGTACTTGCTGGGCACTAATGTGAACACAACCTTTTAATTTTGTAAGTACTTATGCTAGAATTCAGGCACAGTGCCAGTACCCAGTAGTACACGGGCACAAAAGACTGGCACCAGGTCACTGTGTGTACACCGTTTTTCTCAGTTCTGGTATAGTCCACTGCTTTCTACTAGTTGCTAAGCTAATGTTTCAAAATGGCATCGAACAGGGTGAACTGGAGTAACTATAAACGTACACAGTTACATAACAGGTACCTTAGGGGTTAACATGACACTATTTTTTGCGCCAATACCTGGGCACCATGTGGACATCCACTTAGGCAGGGTTGACACTTGTTATGTACCTGGGCACAATACGGTACTCGCTGGGCACTAATGTGAACACACCCTTTTTTCAAGTAGCCAAGCTAAAATTTGGGTGTGTACAAGGTCTTGACCTTGTACGTGGGTACAAAAGTGGGCACTGGGTCCCTTTGTGCACACAATATTTATAAGTTCTGGGCAGTCCACAGCTTTGTTCTCGCTGCTAAGCTCATGTTTCAAAATGGCGTCTAACAGGGTGAAATGGAGTAACTACGTACACAGTCATATATCGGGTACTCAAAGTGTGAACACAACACTATTTTGTGCTGGTAATCAGGCACCAGTTCCTGGGCACCGTGTGGACAAACCCCTTTAAATTCTTGTTAAGTTCTGAGCCCCGCCCATGTTATAATTTGGGGACTGGGATGATTTCTGTTGATCAGATGTGGGGGGAGATTTGGTTGATATTGTGGGGAGTACTACAAAAGAGACAGTCTCCAGATTTTAGATCTTTCTCTAGAGATTTGAGTATTTGATGAGATGCTTGGCCGACATAGAAACTGTGTTGTTTGAAAAGGAGTCCTGTTGTAGTATTGATAAAAGTGAGTTCCAACCCTAACAAAAAGTGTGAAATGTCATGAAGAGAATCAAGGAAGAGGTGTGAACAAGCTTTTTCAATTTGGTGAGGGAGATCACTCAGAGAATAAGGTCAAACAAGTTTGGATTTAACAGGGACCTGTGTGTCTTTAGTTGCATTGGCGTTCTCAGCATTTTCTTGGTAATAAAATTATCCTTTTTGTTGCTTTTGACAGTGCAGCACACTATTCTTCCATTTGTTGCAAAAGAACTCAATGACTTGAGTGTACCAAATATCAATGGAAACATCAAGACTCCACTGGGGGATGTACAGTATGATCTCTCCAAGTAAGTCTATATCCTTGTTTTTATGAATGGAAAAGACTGAGGAGAAGAGGACAGGTATGATCCTGTTTGAAAAATTGAATGCATCCTTTGAAAAACCGTACATCTTATACGCACATGTTTCATCGAAGAAGTGGAATCCTCTAAGAACACATTTGGGGAAGGCATTCAGATTTACTGGCAAGACTTAGTCATTTTTGGATGTAGAGCCAAAGAGGAGGATTATGCTTTACAAAGGTCTTCATGGTACTGTCAATTTTTTTTTCAGGATCAAGTTATCAAATGTGGTAATTCAAAAGTCCAATATGTCTTTGATACCAGAGCATGGCTTAAAGCTTCTGGCTGATCATGCCGCAGGGAATGTTGAAGCTGCCTGGCACTATAAGGAGAGTGCATGGTAAGCAAGGAGCAACAATATGGCTGAGTGGTCAGTATGTGGGACTCGCACCCTGGAGGTTATGGGTTGGGATCCCAGTCTAACCACTGGCTGCATTTGTTTTTAGTCAAGTTCCAAGTCCACTTCCTCTGCTACATGCTTGTAAATTGCTAACCGGTTACCCCCTGCAAGTTGTGGCTTTCAGTTCTACAAATTTACTTTCTACTGAGAGATAGTAATAAAAAAAAATAATTATTACTTAATAATAATAATGATAATAATAATAATAATAATAATAATAGTACACTTTATTTAAAGAGGGTAGCACGGAATAGTTACAGAAACCAGTAAACTTGTGGCTCTCTATCTAAATTAAAATTACAAAAAAAAAACATAAGGTTCCAAATATACAAAGTCTAAGTACAAAATGAATAAAACTAAGGAAATATAGAAGTTTGTTTTAATATCCAACTAAATTGTGTGGAAACCGGCCAGAGTAACAGTAACAGTCCTTGCGTTTAACGTTGTTTCTTTTCCTGTCTAGGCCGCATATTTCTGATTCAGGAACATGTGTGCTGTCAGTCAAAGATCTTTCACTTGGAATGGCTTTTTACCTGCTTCTGATTTCGTTTGTGATTTTATCTATTGAACATTCTCTGGGGAAATCAGTCTCCGTGGATTTAAATTTAGCTCCTGAATGGAAAGCTGAGATAACAAAGAGAGCATCGGACTACGGTAATACTATTATTTGCATTACTTTCAGGGTTAGAAACAACAAGGAAAGATCGAATTAAGCGTTATAACCTTGTCATAAAACCTTTTTGACGAGCTTTTATTTGATCGATAAGCTTAGATCTATGTGTGATGCGTGAACGGGGAACCCTCAATTTATTTTGAATCTTAAAATCTTATTATCGAACAGTCCAATCGTTGTACGTTGAAATGTAACAAATGATAAGATAATTTCGCTTGTATCAGTTTCAAATGAATATGTTTGAATTCTTATTATGATTCTGATGGTTTGGTGTCCATTTAACATGTAATTCACCTGACAATGTTTTGTGAGGATTTTGTTTTTTCCCGGTGGGGTGCCAATTTGAAACTCAGCGGGTAGTATTTTTTTTAGTTACCATGTTCAGACTGCCTGTTTTTATCTTAACATCTAAGAAACAAAACAAACCAAACGGAAACGAAGAATGACAGTAATCGCCTGCTTGCCATCTTTCTTAGCTTCTGTTCGTTTTTGTTCTTAGCATCAGGGTAGCTGAAGTTTCCCCCTTTCTGTCAAGTTTGGTATAGTTCACTTCACCAGCTGTTTAATTGATTTCTCTCCACTAGTTAATCAAATAAAGACCGGAAGATAAAATACTTATGAACTGACCATATTGATATCAGGTCTGTCACTAAAGGCCACAGGACCCAGGGATTTCCCCTTTTTCTGTCATAGTTATGTTTCTGCAGTCTTTTGGCATGTTTTTGATAGCTGACAAGATTATTTTGTCATTACAGTCACTAAAGGGAATTTGATAGTCTTAAGTTCATGTAAGGCAGCTTTCACACCTGGTGCCCGGACACAGTGCCCAAGAATGGTACTTGCTGGGCACTAATGTGAACACAACCTTTTAATTTTGTAAGTACTTATGCTAGAATTCAGGCACAGTGCCAGTACCCAGTAGTACACGGGCACAAAAGACTGGCACCAGGTCACTGTGTGTACACCGTTTTTCTCAGTTCTGGTATAGTCCACTGCTTTCTACTAGTTGCTAAGCTAATGTTTCAAAATGGCATCGAACAGGGTGAACTGGAGTAACTATAAACGTACACAGTTACATAACAGGTACCTTAGGGGTTAACATGACACTATTTTTTGCGCCAATACCTGGGCACCATGTGGACATCCACTTAGGCAGGGTTGACACTTGTTATGTACCTGGGCACAATACGGTACTCGCTGGGCACTAATGTGAACACACCCTTTTTTCAAGTAGCCAAGCTAAAATTTGGGTGTGTACAAGGTCTTGACCTTGTACGTGGGTACAAAAGTGGGCACTGGGTCCCTTTGTGCACACAATATTTATAAGTTCTGGGCAGTCCACAGCTTTGTTCTCGCTGCTAAGCTCATGTTTCAAAATGGCGTCTAACAGGGTGAAATGGAGTAACTACGTACACAGTCATATATCGGGTACTCAAAGTGTGAACACAACACTATTTTGTGCTGGTAATCAGGCACCAGTTCCTGGGCACCGTGTGGACAAACCCCTTTAAATTCTTGTTAAGTTCTGAGCCCCGCCCATGTTATAATTTGGGGACTGGGATGATTTCTGTTGATCAGATGTGGGGGGAGATTTGGTTGATATTGTGGGGAGTACTACAAAAGAGACAGTCTCCAGATTTTAGATCTTTCTCTAGAGATTTGAGTATTTGATGAGATGCTTGGCCGACATAGAAACTGTGTTGTTTGAAAAGGAGTCCTGTTGTAGTATTGATAAAAGTGAGTTCCAACCCTAACAAAAAGTGTGAAATGTCATGAAGAGAATCAAGGAAGAGGTGTGAACAAGCTTTTTCAATTTGGTGAGGGAGATCACTCAGAGAATAAGGTCAAACAAGTTTGGATTTAACAGGGACCTGTGTGTCTTTAGTTGCATTGGCGTTCTCAGCATTTTCTTGGTAATAAAATTATCCTTTTTGTTGCTTTTGACAGTGCAGCACACTATTCTTCCATTTGTTGCAAAAGAACTCAATGACTTGAGTGTACCAAATATCAATGGAAACATCAAGACTCCACTGGGGGATGTACAGTATGATCTCTCCAAGTAAGTCTATATCCTTGTTTTTATGAATGGAAAAGACTGAGGAGAAGAGGACAGGTATGATCCTGTTTGAAAAATTGAATGCATCCTTTGAAAAACCGTACATCTTATACGCACATGTTTCATCGAAGAAGTGGAATCCTCTAAGAACACATTTGGGGAAGGCATTCAGATTTACTGGCAAGACTTAGTCATTTTTGGATGTAGAGCCAAAGAGGAGGATTATGCTTTACAAAGGTCTTCATGGTACTGTCAATTTTTTTTTCAGGATCAAGTTATCAAATGTGGTAATTCAAAAGTCCAATATGTCTTTGATACCAGAGCATGGCTTAAAGCTTCTGGCTGATCATGCCGCAGGGAATGTTGAAGCTGCCTGGCACTATAAGGAGAGTGCATGGTAAGCAAGGAGCAACAATATGGCTGAGTGGTCAGTATGTGGGACTCGCACCCTGGAGGTTATGGGTTGGGATCCCAGTCTAACCACTGGCTGCATTTGTTTTTAGTCAAGTTCCAAGTCCACTTCCTCTGCTACATGCTTGTAAATTGCTAACCGGTTACCCCCTGCAAGTTGTGGCTTTCAGTTCTACAAATTTACTTTCTACTGAGAGATAGTAATAAAAAAAAATAATTATTACTTAATAATAATAATGATAATAATAATAATAATAATAATAATAGTACACTTTATTTAAAGAGGGTAGCACGGAATAGTTACAGAAACCAGTAAACTTGTGGCTCTCTATCTAAATTAAAATTACAAAAAAAAAACATAAGGTTCCAAATATACAAAGTCTAAGTACAAAATGAATAAAACTAAGGAAATATAGAAGTTTGTTTTAATATCCAACTAAATTGTGTGGAAACCGGCCAGAGTAACAGTAACAGTCCTTGCGTTTAACGTTGTTTCTTTTCCTGTCTAGGCCGCATATTTCTGATTCAGGAACATGTGTGCTGTCAGTCAAAGATCTTTCACTTGGAATGGCTTTTTATGTTGACGGTTAGTTATAATATACCCAACTTGAGGCTGAGTCATCATGTGATACAAAGATATTACCACATGCATCAGGAATCATTATTTGTTTCTGGGAAACTGCCCACCTACCCCTCCCCTAAGGCAACATTTTGCCCTAACTGAGAAGTAAGTATTAATGTTGGCTTAGGGGAGGGGTAGGTGGGCACTTTCCCAGAAACGCATAATGATCCGGCATGGATCATCAGCACATAAAAAGAAACATGCTGTTACAATGGTGCAGTGATGTGCCACTCAACAGGTTCTGTACCTACATATGCTTGTTTCATCTGTACATCAGCCCTTAAAAATAGGTTCAAAGTAAACATCTTCTCCAGTTTAGGGTTTTGAAGTGCCATAATTAGATCTGACAAGACTAGCGGTGGGTGACTATTTTAGGGGTGGTGAATGGTAAAATCCGAGACTCGCCGAGACGCCGAGATCCTAGTTAGAAATCCAAGCCTGAGACTCTTTGGTAAAAAGTTTCGAGACTCAAAAAAGTAAAAACAAACCATGAAAAAACGAGACTTCGAGACTTATCATAAACGCTTCCAAGATTTCGAGATCCTGACAAATTTTCCAAGACCCATGTTTTTCGAGGTACCATTCACCACCCCTTATTTTTTTCTTTTTTTGGCTAAAAGGTGATTTGGAGACAAAGGATGCCAAGGTCAGTGCAAAGGATTGCTCAATAAACATCGGCACCTTACATGTCAAATTCAAAGGAGGAGCAAGGTAATGACCAATAATTTGTTTCTCATTGGATTTTCGACAAAACAAAATTAAACTAAATAATGTACAGTTAAATAACCTACAGTTCTTGTCTTTAAGATCCTGGTGTGAGGGAAATTTGCCAGTCTTAGCTATCTACCCTCAAAATAATAATCTTAATATCTAACTGCCCTCATTGTGGTCACCCATGGGACTGTGAGTGGGTGTCTGTAGTCGTTAAAGCCCTTAGTGGCACTTAATTTCTTTCAAACGGTAATAGCGAGGCATTTTCAATACAAGTATACAGCCACTGTACTTATGAGCTTTTTACAGCTGGTCAGTCATGTTGTACAAATTAAAATACCATGCTGGAAAGCAAAAAAAAAAAACAAAGCCAGGGTTTTCATTTAGAATTCTAGTAGCAGGAGGAGGATGTAATGTTACCAGAGAATATTTTGAAAGCGTCTCCATGTCTGAAAAATAAAGCGTTCTAGGCTACCAAATATTAGCCAGAAAATTAGTGCAGTAAACAGAGAATTTTCCAATGTTCAATGCCTAATGACCACTCTGAACAAACCACTGTGATGACACAAAGAAAACTAGCATTTTAAATGATGTGAGCTCTCTGTTTGTCTTATGGCAGTGTGTCCCTTGCATTCTAGCATGATGTTTCTGACCAGCTGCAAAGTATGCCTATTGGTCTATAATTCTACAATGAGGATTCATAGCTTTAGACTTACCGGTAATTCTAGTCTTCATTGATTTCAACTTGTTCCAGAAACAACAAAAAAAAGGTCTATATACAATTACCCACAAAAAAGTGCAGGGTAATTTATTATAAACATGAGAAAGGTTAAAATAAAATAATTGATTTTCTCTGCAGCTGGCTTTATAACATGTTTGCTGATGGACTGGCATCACACCTCAAAGATCAACTGACCAAACAGGTTAGAAATTCCATCAATTATTTTAATTTGAGATATTTTTGCTAAGTGGTTTCCTTGTGAAAGCTTAAAAAATAATAGGAACCAATATAAACTCTGTTCTCTGTTCTATTTCTCACAAGTCAACAGATGTAGACAAGAATCAGACACTTGCACAAATTTAGTAAAGAAGCTTTGGTTTAAATTTCTTAATTAATTTTTACTATTTTTCTGATAAAGATATGTGACGCAGCTATCAACATGATTGACTCCAAAGCTACCAAGACGCTGAATACATTTCCAATGATTATGAGGAAATTTGCCACGGCATATATGCATTAATCACACAAAAAAACCAAGCAACGATACAAGGACAAACTGACAGTCTTTTTGTTCATCTCCTCTCATCAAGGGCAGCAGAAATATTATGCAATGTACTTTCCAATTCACAAAGCAATGCAATAATAATGTAAAGTTAATGTTAAATGTTTTTCATCCCAGACTTTATAAGCTCTATGATTGCTTTAAATTGCTTTCTACTAAGCATAAAATAATCTAAGAAACATAAACAAAACATACAAATAATATTACAGATACGAAATAAAGAAAGTAAAAAAAATACAGATATATTATGTAAATGTTAAAAACAATAACTTACTGTTTGTAACATAATAATTTATTTTTTTACTCCAGTCAGAAGGCTAGGAACTGAAACACCTTATATTAAGAATTATAATAAATCAAATGAAATAAACTCTTGCTATGATCCTGCCATGCAGTTAGGACCACTTACATGATGGCTTTAAAAATCTGTTATCGCTTATAAATTTGGGGACCTTTGTTATTGGTTATTACCGTAGCCGGCGTAGCAGCTTCCCTTCCATTATTTGCACCCTAATTATTAATTGTCTTTTTTTTGTTGGTGTTAATTAAATCATTATACAAAATATGGTCAAGCCACTTTTTAATATTGTAGTCATAAAAGCAGAGTATTATGAAATGTATGCAGGGTTCGGATTATTATCTTGTGAACACAAGATTTTCATAGTCATTAGCATGAGCAAAAGAACTGAACAATCNTGAATACATTTCCAATGATTATGAGGAAATTTGCCACGGCATATATGCATTAATCACACAAAAAAACCAAGCAACGATACAAGGACAAACTGACAGTCTTTTTGTTCATCTCCTCTCATCAAGGGCAGCAGAAATATTATGCAATGTACTTTCCAATTCACAAAGCAATGCAATAATAATGTAAAGTTAATGTTAAATGTTTTTCATCCCAGACTTTATAAGCTCTATGATTGCTTTAAATTGCTTTCTACTAAGCATAAAATAATCTAAGAAACATAAACAAAACATACAAATAATATTACAGATACGAAATAAAGAAAGTAAAAAAAATACAGATATATTATGTAAATGTTAAAAACAATAACTTACTGTTTGTAACATAATAATTTATTTTTTTACTCCAGTCAGAAGGCTAGGAACTGAAACACCTTATATTAAGAATTATAATAAATCAAATGAAATAAACTCTTGCTATGATCCTGCCATGCAGTTAGGACCACTTACATGATGGCTTTAAAAATCTGTTATCGCTTATAAATTTGGGGACCTTTGTTATTGGTTATTACCGTAGCCGGCGTAGCAGCTTCCCTTCCATTATTTGCACCCTAATTATTAATTGTCTTTTTTTTGTTGGTGTTAATTAAATCATTATACAAAATATGGTCAAGCCACTTTTTAATATTGTAGTCATAAAAGCAGAGTATTATGAAATGTATGCAGGGTTCGGATTATTATCTTGTGAACACAAGATTTTCATAGTCATTAGCATGAGCAAAAGAACTGAACAATCACAGATGTGCAGGAATGAGCACTGCCATTGTTTTTTCCTCCCCTTCTGCTTCTGATTGTGACAATATGGCTTTCACTTTAGATCGGAAGCAACAAAGTTAAAAGGGGAGTTGGAAAAAAATGGAAAAACTCTGATTCTTGTGCTGATTCCACCAGGCTTACACTACCTGTCACTCTGTATTTAGATTTTCAATAGTTCCTTTAAGAACTCTTGACATTCCGATTACTCCTCGGGCTCTGTAAGTTGTATAAAGGGCTGATTTACACAAAATAGTGATGCAAGAAAAAGAGCACAGGTCATTCTAACAATTACTACCCAGATCATCACAGAGCTGTCACAATGAAATTTATTCGTTTTTCTTCTTTTACGTACATATTTAAATTAATCTTTTCCATACCAAATATCATATACATCAGACTTTCTTTACAGACCAAACTATTCCTGTCCTTGGTTTCATAGCAACCAGGTATCCTTGGCTTAGTTAAAAATTTCTGTACACTCCAAAACCAATAATAGATTTCTCTTCACAGAATGTTCTGGTAACTTTGGATTAATTTAGGTTTCTGGGAAACTGCCCACCTACCCCTCCCCTACCTCAATGTTAACATTTGCATCTCACTTGGGGCAAAATGTTGGGTTAGGGGAGGGGTAGGTGAGCAGTTTCCTGGAAACCTAAATTGATCCGTAACTTTTGCAGCTAAATGATCAATTTTTAAATTTTTTTTTTTTGGAGCTTCAATGTCTTGTGGTACAAAATCTTTTTAACAGTTATTTTCTAAAACCACAAAAGAAAGCAGTCCTTGAGAAATATTACTATGTAAAATCCCCTTGGTATGACTGACACTAATTACTGTACTACAGCTTCATTTTCTTGGCTGCAAAGGTAATATAAGTGATGCACTTGCTTAGCAGCTTAGTGGCTCAGAAACTGCGATACTCGACTCTGTTGGTAAAAGCCTGCTGAACTGTTGTCTGTCTCCATAAAATGCTGTCAGTGGACTCTTATGGGAGCATTCCTTATCCAGACCACCTTGCAATTGAACAGTTCAAGTGGCTGGAGATGTACATCTTGACGGTCTTCCCCTTGCAGATAATGTATCCTCCATTTAACATCATACTACTCTGTATCTGTAAAACTGCATAAATGCCTGACCAATATTCCAACCCACAGCAAGGGAGACAACGTACCCTATTATGACCAGTAGGACTGGATAAAGCAGGACTACTGTTTTGCGAAGAAATGGCAATGCTGTGAATAAAAAACAACAACAATAAAATTAATTAATGAAAATGAAGGGTGCAAGGACCTCACTTTCATCTTGCTTATTTTAAGCCAATATGCACATAATTATTAAGGGCCCCAAAATCCCATCACCAAACTGTGCTTCATGCTTTTGACAATGTGAAAAATGAGTTTATGAGCAGGAGCAGGGAAGAAATCCATAAAAGACAATTTTTTAAATTTTAATTTTTCAGAGGACTTTTCAATCAACTTACCACTGTATCCTAGGAATGAGATATAGATATAATAAATCAGAGCGACCAGCCAAAGGGAATTACCAATAAATCTTGAAATAAACAGTGGATGATCTATTATAACTTAAAAAAGAATGATAATAAAATTAATGAAAGGTCAATAGAACCCTTTATAAAATATAATTATTATTTGAATTATCTTAACAAAGGTTGCCTGAATTTGAATTCCCACTATTAATATAGATATTCATTTCCTGTTTGTTTATAAATGGTGCTATCCATTTAATGTTTGTGTAAGGTATGGCA